CTATCGTACTTGTGTCTTTCAGCAGCAAAAATACAAGGAAACACTATCGTACTTGTGTCTTTCAGCAGCAAAAATACAAGGAAACACTATCGTACTTGTGTATTTCAGCAGCAAAAATACAAAGAAACACTTGATGATACCGAATTCTCCCTATTCAGTCGCAGAGTCCAAAAAAAAAAAAAGTAGGAAGATGTGATAGCATCAGTGATGCACACTGCTGTTCGACATTGAATATTGTTCCTGATGAGGAATTTCTACTACGTAGTAACCCTGTAATTGTAGCCTGTGGTGTGAATATAACTTCTGGTGGTATTGGAGCACGTTTGCACCTCTCTTACATTAGTAGTGGCTATTTGACGTGGGCCACTTTCCACATAGCATGAATAGTCCATTCTGATGGTTTGGGATGTCAAGTCATGCAAAAACTATTGCTTTCGACGTGACTAGCACTGAATTGTCATCCCATATATTTATCCTCTCAACATCCAACTATGCGAACTCGTGAAAATATAATTTATTCTCGAGATTATTTAGTTTGTGGCATGACTGGTTGTATTCTATAATATTTTATGAGTTATATATATGACTTTATTTATAAGGTGAGACGTTTAAATGTGACATCATAAAAATGGTCTATGCGTATTCTCGGGAGTGTTTATTTACTTATTGGCAGATTGTTCATATATTTCATCTGTGCAGTTCAATAGAATGAAACAAACTATGATTTAACTTGTTTTTGGTTTTTTTTTACTATAGTTAATTTGAAACTTTTTTTTTGAATAACATTTTACATATACGTTTTCCAGGACACTAATTTGTAGCCATTATAAGAAGATATTTACTATCTTTGATGCAAAAAGTTGATGTGTAAGATTTCTAAGAACGTGAACCTAACCATCGACATTAGAAGGTGGAAGAACAAAGAGAGAACAGTAAGTTGCCTAACAAACAGGAAGCAGTTTTGTGTTAAACATAACCTGAAGCAAAAGGAAAACTGACTAGAGCAAGTTCTCTAGGTCGTCATTGTAAAACCAGATTTAAAAATACATACAAGAAGGTGCTCTGAGTAATTGTAATGAATAATTTATGCTGGTGGAAAGTAAGCAAAATCTTGGCTTTGTCCTTAAGTGTTTCAAGTTATAATAAATAACACCTAGGATTTCCTCATACATTTTGTAGTTTTTAGTTAGTTACTGACTGTATGGTTAAGTTTTGAACGTGTTAAAAGTGGAAACATAATGTAAAATTAAAGGTATTCACTGATTAAACACAACTTCCTAACTGTACTCAGCAATACTTGGGTATATCTTTTAGGTCCAAAGGTGTTGTACCATGTGCATATTCAGTATATATCCACACATAAATATACAAATGAAGTCTCAAACCAGCTCTCAAGAAAACGTTTGTCAATGTTCATTATAAGTTCCACTTTAATGCTTGAAAAGAAAAGATTGCAATGTCTTTTCAGTCTATTGGTATATAAGATTCCTTCCAATAATTAGTAGTCACATCAGCTATCAATGTTTTAGGGTTACAGCCTTCACTATAGTATATGAGAATAAGCAGTCATATAGATAGTGCTAGTCCTTATAGATATATCCAACGTTTCCTGTTAATACAGAGCATTGGATTGACATCCGTTCTGCTTGGTTTTGAAAGTAAATAGGTCAATATAAAGACATTTTGTGGTAAGAAAACTGTTGATCGATTTATAGATCTGGTAGGAAACAATAGAAGTCTATGCAACTACAAACACTGTGTTTTTGATTGGCTATAAATATAGATTGTGTTTCACTTTACATCACATGTTCGGTCTGTTTATTTTCTAAGCTTAAAATTCAGTCCTTTAGCTACATTCAGATTTTAGAACTCATGCAGAAATCAGTTTCACCCGAGAATACCACAGAGTGGATAGGAAAGTTTGTTTTGTTTGTAATTAAGCACAAAGCTACACAATGGGCTATCTGTGCTCTGCCCACCACGGGTATCGAAACCCGGATTCTAGCGTTGTAAGTCCGCAGACATGCCGCTGTGCCACTGGGGGCGGATAGGAAGGAGAAACTTTGGAGTTGTTACCATAGGATTTATTGTGGAGTTTCTGTTGTTGTTTTTCATGGTACATATTGGCCATTACTTGACCAATTGAGTTGAAACGAGTTTTAAGGAATGTTTTTACTTAAATAATGAAATATTCTCAAGGTAGAACTACTTTTGACCAAGAGGAAGAGTTTGTTGCTAGAGAGAGATGTCGAGTCCAGGAGACGAACTTTTCTGATGCCTTGCCACTGTTGAATGATCTCAGCACAAAGGAAGTGAGGATGAATGATGTTGCTGAGGTGAAATGGCACCTGGCGAGATCAAGATCACTTGGGTAGGTGTCTACAGGACTCTCAGGCTGTTGCCAGCTAGAGTATCACGGCTCCAAATCTGGGCAAAATAACCCACGATTAGCTGAGAAGGACTGGAAGTGACATCAGTCAGAGCTGTTTCTCTTGTAGGTGAAATAATAATCACCCAGGGGTAGAGATTTTGAACTTCTCTAAGCCAGGAAGTATCGTCCAATGATAACCATGACTCGTGATAAAACTTGGGGTGAGTTACCACAAGTAACTCATAGTTCTGGACCAGGAGCAAACTACATAACACTCATGAACCCAAACTACCACCCTTCAACTGTAACATTGGTGGCATCTCAGCCAAACATTGCCAAAGAACCTACAAATGAGTGGCTTTGGCCAGCACCCCAAGCTTCTTTGAGTGAGACAAAACAGAGTTCTCCTCTGTTGTTTAAAGGAGCAGCAAAAGAAGACCTGGCTATTTCTTGAAATGTTTTTGGCAGGACATTGCTTGGAATATTTGGATTCAGTGGAAAATCAGATAATCTATTGTGCTATGTTTAAGGCACATAAGAAGATTGGCACTGAGGGTATGACCACTTATGCAAACAGTTGAATGGCAAGATATACGTTGCAATGGCACTAGCAGATTGAGAGAAATTTCTCATGAATAAGTGTGTTAAGAGACTTCCCAACAAAGCCATGAATCATCACATAGGTGTGAGGGGAAATCCTCTTCTCGACATGAAAAATACATTTTACATCATGACCCAGTATGAAGTAGTAGCTTCAAGCCAGTCACTACAAAGGAAAATACCTGCAACAACATCTATAGTGGCTATAACTCAGATGGAACGACCTACTCAGGCACCTCCACCATATCTAGCTTGAGCCATTTGAGGGTATACCAATACCAATCAATACTAATCCCACTACTTGTTGGCAAAATAATAGCCCAAGAGTTGGCGGTGGGTGGTGTTGAGTATCTTCTTCCCTTTAGTCTATCGTCCCTAAA